ATATATATATATATATATATATATATATATATATATATATACATACATTTAGCCACTGAGATGCTGAGTGATTGATCAGGAATTCATAGGTTCTTACCAGTCAGGTACTCTGGATCAGGTACTGGGTCAGACAGCTCCTCATGACACTGGGCTTCAGTCGGCACAGACGCAACCACCATGCCATCCGGGAGCTGCTGCTCGATGCCACGGGCAAAGTTCTTCTGCCTAGACAGCAGAAGATAAAGGAGACAATCTACTCAAAGCACAGTCTCATGTTCATCCATCTGTCACTCACACAAATCCTACATTTCTGGCACATCATTGTAGCAAAATCTACAGAAAAACATATGAGCAGCATTGTCCGTTAAAAGCTCATACGTTAGTGTTTACTGGCTATTTTGATGTACATTATCCATAATTTACAATATTTTTTTTCTTCTCTTCATTTAGCATTATTGTTCAAATGGTTTTCATTTTATTGATCAAATTGCCATGAAACATCACCTTTTTGCACTTAGCAGGTCATTTAAATAAAACATATAAAATGTATAATATTAGGCAAAGGCTATTTGTGTGTTATTTAAGTGCACTAAGTGCAAATAGCTTTAGATGTTATTTACACTAAGTGAAAATAGCAGTATTTTCTTTGCACTAAGTGTAAATATTGTTAGATGCTATTTATATATTTATACTTATTACAAATAGTGGCAAATACTATTTTCACCTCAGTGTATTATAGGGCATTGTATAACAGGATGCTACATATTCAGTGTATATGATTCTATTTATTAAAGTCATAAATTAATGCTGGCTTATTAGGAACTTGAGGTGGATTTGAACTCTTGTCAGTCTCTATTTGCACTTAGTAGAAATAGACATTCTATGTATTTGTTAATATTTGGTTTAGATAAAATATAATTTAAAACGAAGGAGTGAATAAAGTGTAAGTGGATAGGATACATTTGAAATGGTGTTAAGAGATTATTTTTCATAATATGGCATAAATATCACGGGGAAGCATTAAAAGAAGGTAGAGGAGCTCAAAGAGAACAAGAAAAAGCAAACTGAAAAAAGCAGTGCACAAAAGAATGACTGTATATCTAAATTAGATCTGCTGAAGTACTATAGACTTGAGGAAAGAGTAAGAAAATACAGTTTGAGTTTAAACAAGAAAATAGAGGGGAAAAAGTGAGAAGATGGGTTTCAAAGCAATGTGAGCAAATAATAAGTATACATCGGACAGAAGGACTGATGGAAAGGGATAAACTGACAACAGTGAAAGACACAAAGATGCACAAACTCTGCATTCTGCATAGAAGCTCTGACTCAATTTCTCTCTATGTATCTTAAGTTAGATCAAGGTTAATGTATTCTGGGACCGAGTGTATACTGAACAATGCGATATAAAAAATGTATGTCAAAGAAAAGTATGAATAAAAGAAGAATAGGAGAATATAGAATAAACTCTTTCCTTTTCAAGGAAAAATAAGCACCTAGAAAGCACACCAGGGAAATACATAGAATGCAACAACATTTTAGAATGATGCCTACTAGAGCATCTAAATGAGCGAGCATTCAGAAAATTGTGCCAGGCAACATTATACAATCGATATCTTTTTTTCAAGCATTATTGTCATATCCAACTAATAAAGTGGACTTGGATGAAATAATTATATTATCTCTAAATAAACAGAGCACTGTATAAATAATTGGGCTTAAACGGGAGAGAAAAAAAGCCAGAGGCTTGCAATATGCCCTTAATCTTAATATGAGAATGAAAAGTGGCTGAAGTGGAACAGACTGTCATTTATATTCGACAGACAGTCATATATGTGGAGGTCTACAGTGCTAAATATCCCTGTTTCCTGGATGACTCAAAATGTTGAGCTATTTATAAAGAAAACAGCCATTTACTTGGCTAAATAATAGTAATATCCCCTATTATTTGTAACCCTGAACATAACAAATCAGATTCTACTGATGTATATTAGATTGTAGGTTTTCCAGAGCAAATTAAATCTGGCATAAACCTCAAAACTGTTCCCAAATACGCCCTCTCGGGTGTGCTGGAAGGTACACTGGAGCACATTCTGCAGAAATTTCATTGAGCACCGGGGGATTTCCTCCCCACATCTAATAAAAATGTATAAAAGTTGTTTCTCTCGTCAAACTGGAAGCTCACGCTTCAATAGATACTTGCATATTTAAATATTAATAGCTCTGTGTTATTGCTTGTCAAAATCACATCTGATAAAAGGTTCAGTTCCCCACGGAGTCGGTCCAGCTAAATAGAAATGTGCAATAAACTTAGGGGCCAGTAATTTTAATGAAAATGATGCATGTGGTTCTAAAGTTTCTGAAATTATTACTGGGCAACAATTGTGGCTATAACCTCTGTGAATTAAAATGTCTGAATTTTGGTCCATAGTAATAAAAACAATAAGGCAATATTAAATATAAATGCATTACAAAAATTACAAAAAATAAAATATTTAACAGATAAACTTGCATGTTGTCTAAAGCTTTAAAAGGGTCATATGATGCTATTTTAAAGATAATTATTTTGTGTATTTGGTATAACAGAATATGTTGACATGCTTTAATGTTCAAAAAACACATTATTTTTCAAATACTGTACATTATTGTAGGTCCTCTATGCCCTGCCTCTCTCAAACCCGTTGTTTTCAACAAAGCCCCTTCCTTTGACAAGCGCAGTCTGCTCTGATTGGCTAGCTGACCCAGTGCATTGTGATTGGCCGAACACCACAAGCACGCGTTGGAAATGTAACGCCCCTTACCATAATCGCGAGCTTCAGCTTTCAAAGTAAATATCAAGACAGTTAATAATGTTGTTAGTTTTACCATCAGTTCAAGCCCAAAAGGGCAACAGAGTTGCGTGACAGACACAGTGATGATGCAGTACACAAGCTGCGGTTAAGACAGCTGATGTGCTACGATTTCTGACAGGCAGTTCACTCTCCTGCTATGTGACCCTGTTCCCCTCACACACACACACACGATGCGTTACTCTGCCCTGCGCAAAACTCCGCATTTGAACAGTCAATAGCAAATACTTAAACTAATAACAAAACATACTTACAGTCGCTGATTCAGACGCGCCAGATTGTCATAGCAAAGTCGGAATTTACCCATTTTTTTTTTAGAACAATTGCACAAATTCGAACATCTGGGTTGTGCTGTTCTGTTGTAAATAAATCTTAACCAATGATTCCTAATTGCATCTACTTCCGGAAGGCCAAATACAGTGCTTTTGCTTTTGCACTGAAACACAGCGTCTCCTGACATGGCTGCATCAACACTACTGTTGTTCCTGAAACCACTCCTTCTTTCTTTGCGTGCACATTTGGGCGGCATTATGCTAATATTTCCACATAGTGACGTAGATATGAGGGGCCTGTTAGAACGAGCCGTTTTAGGTAGGCATGGTTGACTTTAATCTCTTTGGATTTGAGACTTTTGTCTTTGCAACTTTCTGTAAAGTTCTTCTTTATGCACCAAGAGCTTGTAACACTCCAAAGAGAAAGGAGAAATTGAAATTGCATCATATGACCCCTTTAAATGCTTGTTACTTTCCCTGTGTAATTTTCTAAAACAAACAGACTGCATACTGAAAAGTCTCCTGAGAAAAACCTCAGTCGCGACGCAACTTCATTAATCATGTGCGTCGACAATGAATGGACATACAAGAGGGAGATTTCAGCAATAATATCTAGCAGCACGGTAATTATAGACAGAACATGCACGTTTTATAAGATGCTCTGGGCATCACAGGTGGGATTATCTGTCGAATGAGAATAAGGGGAAAATATAAATCATTTAAAATACACAATAGAAAAATGGTTAATGTAAAACTAGGTGAACTGCTGTTGTCCAGCAACAGCTGATGGCAGATTCTAATAATAAGAGTATAACACAGAAGACGTCTTTAAAAGCATCTGGAAAATGAAAAATAAAATCTGCAGCAAGTATGTTTAGTTTTCTTTCGGTTTAAATAAGTAAGCTGTGTGAAGTTGATGAAGTTGACATCCCATTTCAGGCAAGATAATGAGATATCCAGTTATCAATTAATATCATTAAGAGATGATTTCACGCATAATTAATCATAATATGTAAGGCCGAAGAAATTAATCTAGAATGGCAGAATTTTGAGCAAGTATTTTTAGCTTGTTTAAAGCAGAAGTGTGTCATTTCAATGCCACTACACAGAACTGAGGCCGAAGAAGTTTGCCCAAACACTCCACCAACCTGCCGCTGGTCAGTTAAAGAGATGGTTAAGATGCTTGAACAAACAGAAAAATGTTATTACATTATATAATTATAATTAATAATGATTAAAAGTATTGTTTTTTATATAATTCTAAGTATAGAAATTATTTTATATTTTATGTTATAGCTGTGGTAATATCACAGCATACTGAAAATTTGAAATCAACATTCCATTTATAAGAGAAAATTCTAATTATAAGGGAAAGCAAGAAGAGCATTTGAAGAAAAAAAATGAGCCATTTGAAAATAGCTCAGACTTCAGGCTTTTAAAAATAATCAGACTGTTCACAGCCTGTGTGTGATGTTTTAATTTAGTGCTGGGAAAAAGGTAGTGCTTTGAGTTTCTTGCTGTGGATAGAAACACCCAACTGGGAGATTTTAAGAGAGGTAGTCCTAATCATGATTCTGCAAAGTCTTAATGAGAACAAAGGGCACTATAAAATTCATTAAAACCAGCTCAAAGCACACTGGGAAGCAATGGAAGTGAAACTGGTTAAGGCTGGAACCCAGAGGAGAGGGAAAGTAATTAGGAAAGGGGACATGTTTTTAGGTGGAAAGTCTCATGATGATAAGACAGAAATCTAAATGAAATCCTGCCTGGCAATGCACAAAAGATATGGAGGAGGAAGTATGCATGGGTATTTTGAATGATCTCTAAAAGCCTGTGTATAGTATATTTAATTAAGATGTCAACAAAATGTTTGCATAATTTACTTTCTTAATTTCTTTGCACTCTGCTCTACAAACGCAATGGTACACAGATATGGACTGCTGCTCAACAAGACTGCTTCTCAACAAGCTAGATAATTTGGCAGCAGTGCCATATGGAGATTCTGGATAAAGACTACAGCACGGCCTTGAGTGTAACATCCAGTGGTTAACTCACACTCAGTGTACCGCATTTGAAGAACGCAATGTGTAAACCCCTATGTATGTGT